AGAAGCCAAAGAGATGAAATAAGCCCTGGTCTCCTGTAGCGCTCCCAGGCTTATTAGGACGAGGAAATTCCCACCTAATACATTTTGGTCAGACAGATTGTCTACTCTCAAACCCTGTCTCCTGATAAGATGTTATCAATGACAATGCATGCCTGAAACTTCATTAGCAATTTTAATTTCGCCCCATCCTGTGGTCCTGTGATCTCGCCCTGCCTCCATTTGCTTTGTGATATTTTATTACTTTGTGAAGTATGTGATCGCTGTGACCCACACCCTGTTCATACAGTCCCTCCCCTTTTGAAAATCGGTAATAAAAACTTGCTGGTTTTATGGCTCAGGGGGCATCACAGGACCTGCCGACATGTGATGTCTCCCCTGGACACCCAGCTGTAAAATTTCTGTCTCATACTCTTTCCCTTCATTTCTCAGACCTGCTGACGCTTAGGGAAATAGAAAAGAACCCACATTAACTATCGGGGTGGGTTCCCCTGATACCTGTCATCAAGCTAAGCTCCCTTGGCTTGCATAGGAAGTCTATCAGCTTGTCATCTGGGTGCTCCACTTGGCATGGACAGGTGAAGTTGTGCAATTCCTCTTCTCAGGATCAACAGATCTTACAGTGACTTTCATCCAGTTCACCAGGCTGGCTTTCTCTCAGAAATAAGCTCCTGTGTGTCTGGAATGAATATATATATATATATGGTGTGTGTGTATACATATGTTGCAGATGGAGATATGTGTATACATACTACATATACACACATATATGTGTGTATACATACTATATATACTATATATAGTAGTATACACATACATATATACATATATACTATATATACATACATATATACTATATATACTATATACATAGTATACATATATACATATACATAGTATATAGTATATATAGTATACTATGTATATAGTATATATAGTATACTATGTATATAGTATATATAGTATACTATAGTATATATACATATATACTATAAACTATATATACTATACATACTATAGTATGTATAGTATGTATACTACGGTATGTATACACACATCTCCATCTGCAACATATATACAAATTTTATATGTATACATACGTATTTTATATGTATACAAATTTTATACATATACATATATACACATATATATGCATACATATATATACACACACACATACATATACATATATCTCCATCTACAACAATTCAGTAGTGAGGTGCAGGTCATGCATCAACCAAAACATACTCTTCCATTCTACAATGTTTAAAACCAAAGACATTGCTCCAATATTACAATCAATTTTAGTAAAGGCTCCTCAGGAAGCTGATGACACCAATGTATAAAAATGGAACATTTTTTAAAAAACATTATACCCTCTGGTTTCAGTAGTTACTTGCTTTTGCCCTTCCCTCACATTGACTACCTTCTTTGAAACCACAGGTCTCAGAGGTACATTCTGGTTCCCTGACATGATTTCCCCCTTTTGAGGGTAGCCTTGAAACTAGTGATCTGGGCTCAGACCAACCCATGTCTGAATTTGGTCTCCCTTCAGGGTCCAACTCAGCACTCTTACTTTTATTTTAGCTATTATGGATAACAATAACCAAGGGATTGAATATTTCACCAATCTCTTGGTGAAATATAGTAGTCCCAGCTACTTGGGAGGCTGAGGCAGGAGAATGGCTTGAACCCGGGAGGTGGAGCTTGCAGTGAGCCCAGATCGTGCCACTGCACTCCAGCCTGGACAACAGAGCGAGACTCCATCTCAAAAAATAATTAAGTAAAAATTAAAAAAAGGAAAACAAAAGAAAAGAAAAAAGGATTCTTGGGGGAAGAACCTCTTATTCTCATGCAACTGGTTCCTCCATCAGGGAGAAAAGCTTACTTGCTGTGACAAGGAGCTGGCCTCCCTGGCCAGGGGAGGAGACTCCGTGGGCATGTGGCAGGGAACGCTAGCCAGCTGTGTGGGGCGCCTTGGGGCCCAGGCAGCCACTGTGGCTGATTCCCACCCTGCGTGGCCATGTTTGGACACCACGCATACATGCGGCAGATAAGGCCGTGCACCCCAGCTGATAGGAAAGCGGGAGCTTAGAGCTGCCCTGCCCATCTCATGTGCACTCCTGTGGATGTTGGGGTGGATGTGAACCCCTTCCAGTATTGTAAAAGAAAAAAGAGGTGCAATTACTAAAAAAAGAGAAGAGGAATGCCACAGGACCAAAAGGCTCAGAAACAACAGTGAGAAGTTTTGAGTCCCCACTTCCCTCAGCCCTTCTCAAGCCCCATGTTCTGGACAACGAAGCTGTTGCAGGAGTTTTTCCTTAGTTCAGCGAAAAGCCGGGTTTTTGTCACACAGCCATCAGAGATTAGGCTTGCAGACACTGTGAAGGGTGAGAAAAAAATGGAATTTATTGGGGAAAAAGGGGAAACAGGGACCCTCCACAAAGCCAGAGTCCTGTTCCTGTGCTTCCTGCCTTGCAGATGAATCTCGGGTTCCACCCAGGAGGAGGATGGGCCAGGCTCCTCCCCCCGGTGAAGGGCACAAACTTGTGCGGCTCCAGCCCAGTGCACAGTCCTCCCAGCGCACGGGCTAGCTGGAATTTCTCCGGGGACCCCTTTACACTTGGCTGTCTCAATATCTGATAAAAAATTTAGACATATCAAGAAAAGCCAAGAGTACAGAATCAAGTTATCCTAGAGGAAAACACTGCTTTTCTAGATAAACATTCAAGATAAACATTTCAGCATCAGGCCACAACAGCAGCTAGAACCAGAAGAAAAACATTGCAGAAGCCTATGAAACCTTTGTAAGAGAGAATTATTGGCCTGGCGCGGGGGCTCACGCCTGTGATCCCAGCACTTTGGGAGGCCGAGGCTGGTGAATCACGAGGTCAGGAGATCGAGACCATCCTGGCTAACACAGTGAAACCCTATCTCTACTAAAACTACAAAAAATTAGCCGGGTGTGGTGACGGGCGCCTGCAGTCCCAGCTACTCGGGAGGCTGAGGCAGGAGAATGGCGTGAACCCGGGAGGCAGAGCTTGCCATGAGCCGAGATTGCGCCACTGCACTCCAGCCTGGGCAACAGAGCGAGACTCCCTCTCAAAAAAAAAAAAAAAAAAAGATATTTATCATCATCTGAGGCCTCTTCAAGTGGAGAATAAAAGCTGAAAGCAGCAAGACACAGCAAAGTTGCACTTCTAAGACAAGAATCTGAGAAGTTTTCAAAAAGTAGCATATTATAGAATCAAAATAAAAACTCCTTGTAATTTTATTAAGAACAAATAAATATTTTAAGGAAGCCTTGTTCTAACATAAAGGGCCAGTGTTAACCTTTTTATATCTCTCTCTCCTGTTTACAGCTTCCTTTTTACCTGGGTTCATAAATAACCCTTCCAATTCTATAATTTAAATGAATCTTCAGATAACTTTTGAATTAGACAATTTTTTAAATACAAACGTATCTTTTTAGCATATTTTATATACAGGATTGTATAATAACTAGAATTTTTATTCTTAGTAACCTTAATTTTTACTGCAATATTTAGGAAGCAAGAAACCCTGAAATGTCTATCAGATATTAGCATTTTGTAGGTTAGACGATTTTACAATTTTTTAAAGAAAACATATTTCCCCATATCATCACTTTCTTAATTTGAAATGACCCAGATATGTTTGAATTAGCATCCAAAACAATTTCAAGACTTTAAATTACACAAAAAGGTCACCTACAGTAATTATCTCATCTATATTTTATTTATTTTTAGCAGTTTATCTAGATTATTTATGAGAACTGAGATATCAGACAAATGTAATCATTTTATTCTTCACCATCCTTATAACCTGCACATATTAAATGTTTACCCAAGGAAGAGGCTTAAAATTAACTACGTGGACATTATTGCTAATAACTCTGAAGATTCAGCTGCTTTTATTAAACCAGCCACATTAAATTAGACTTATTTCTCAAAAAAAATCCCACAAACACATCATTTTCCTCTTGGCTGGGTTTACAATCTTACAAACTTTTGTCCCAAACTCTGACACTTTAAAATACCTGGCAGAGACAAATATAAAATCTAGGCAAAAATGTATGCCAAAAATTTGAAAAGCATTTTTATTTTACCAAGAATATTGAAGGCATCTTGTTTAGTAAAGATTTACCTACGTCAAATGAACTTTTTAAATGCTTGGACTTATTTACTTAATTTATGAGTGATCTTTTACTTATAAGTCAATTTGGTACCTTATATAAACAACACATGATATCCAGAAACATATACTCACCTACAAAGATTCAATACCTTTGACCTCAGAATTCTAGCCGTAAGGTAGCATTACAAACGCATCAGTTTATGAATATGTTCACATGAGTAAACCTCTCCTCAGTAGGCAATCTTGTGAAGGCTGGGAAACAAAATTTTGGGTAAAGCAGTTTCCATGATAGTTTGATTTTTTAAGGCCAAACCTCCTCAGACTCCAAAGAAAACTGGGGCCAAATACACTTACAGAAGGACATCCCATACTCACCAGGCCTGACCCTGTTGAGAACAGCAGCATCAAAGCCTGGATATGCAGAGCTCCACCTCACTTTCCTGTTCAGCAGCAAAATGAACCCCATCGTAACACAGCACGACATTTCAAAGACCCATGGAGAGTCCAAAACTTTCTGAACTACAAAGAACACTTCGGCCAAACAGCATTACAAAAGAATATCACTTTCCTTTGTTCCACTGGCTCCTGATTATATTCAGACTACTTTTGAAGAGTGCACCCAAGCAGGCTGCATTCTGTGATTGAATTCTGATTTCCCATGACTATATTCTCACACACACACACACACACAACACACACACACACATGCATGCAAACAACCATCAAAATAGAATATCTAACTGTAGTAGGGACTAACGATCCCCAAGAATGTGGTTTTCTAATTTACGCAAGCAGAAATCCAGCAAGTGTGTAGGGGAATAGATATTAAGGGTGTGGCTCGGTCGCCGCGTCCCCTCACCAGGTTCCCTCCGTCGCCGCCAAGATGATGTGCGGGGCGCCCTCCACCGTGCAGCCGGCCACCGCCGAGACCCAGGACATTGCCGACCAGGTGAGGTCCCAGCTTGAAGAGAAAGAAAACAAGAAGTTCCCTGTATTTAAGGCCGTGTCGTTCAAGAGCCAGGTGGTGGCGGGGACAAACTACTTCATCAAGGTGCACTTTGGCGACGAGGACTTCGTACACCTGCGAGTGTTCAAATCTCTTCCTAACGAAAACAAGCCCTTGACCTTGTCTAACTACCAGACCAACGAAGCCAAGCACGACGAGCTGAGCTATTTCTGATCCTGACTTTGGACAGGACCCTTCAGCCAGAAGACTGATAATTAAAGTGATCCTCCGTGGACCAGAGCATGCACTTGTGATCCGAAAATAAGCTTCATCTGCAGGCTGTGCTCTCGGGGTGGAAGGGGCGGGATTCAGCAGCTGCTCTTGCATTTCTCTTCCTAAATTTCAAAATACATATATTTTTAAAATCCTTAAACAAAAAAAAGGGTGTGGCTCAATGAGGGAAGAAATGTAAAGTTGAATCTGTATTAATTTATTAATACAGGCTCACTAAGCAGAAATTCTGCACTTACTGCAGCTCAGGGAGTTAGAAAGAGCTCTAACTGGTGGGTTGGTTGGCTAAAATATGGATCAAAGATGGACCTCTGTGAGCAAGCTGGGAATGCTGGATCCCCCTTGGTTTAACATAGAGATTGGGATCCTAGCCAACATGGTGAAACCCTGTCTCTACTAAAATACAAAAAATTAGCTGGGTGTGGTGGCCTGTGCCTATAGTCCCAGCTACTCGGGAGGCTGAGGCAGGGGAATCGTTTGAACCCTGGAGGAGGAAACTGCAGTGAGCTGAGATCTCGCTACTGCACTCCAGCCTGGTGATACAGTGAGACTCCATCTCAAAAAAAAAAAAAAAAAATAGTCCCGATCAATCTATAGTGTTAGAAACCAACATAAAAGGAGGTAACAATTTTAGTGATTGGAAGGGGACTCCTTTGGGCTGTTAATTATGATAATTATGTTAATTATAATTCATTAAATATCATATGATTGCATGTGTGTATTCAATTTGTGAGTATTTATAAAGCGGTATGCTTATTACTTGAGAATAAATGTTTGTATATATGTTATGCTTCAACGGAAAGTTTGTATTAAACATTTGTGAGAGGAATAATGGGTAATTGTGTGATGTGTTTCTGCAATGAAAAAAAGTAGGTGAAAATACTCTTTCTTGTTGTTGTTTTTTACAAAATTGCTTTCTGCTTTCTTAAGGAAACCATACAGACTAAACACAATGTTTGAACTTAATAAATGTATGGCAAACTAGAGAGAGAGAGTTACCGAGAGAGAAAGACAGGGATAAAGAACAGACACGCACACACACACATTTGAGCCACGATACCTCCTTCAGATGTCAAGTAAGAAAGATATTGGCAGTGACAGAAGCTGGAAACTGTGTTGCATGGAAGCACGCACTGGAAAGGCCACAGAGTAAGAATCAATAGAATTAATCCATATTGTGCCTCCTGGGAGATTCTTGTTAAAATAAGAGGTTAAAATACTTGTAAAATATATCCTAGTGCATTTTCTGTCCCCTTTCCTCATCAAAATATTTGTGGCTATTATTTTTCAAAAGGGAGAAAAATCATTACCAATAACCAAACTAATTGATTTTCATTGAATATCCAGTGTGTAATAACTTGGGTTAGCTTATGAGTATTTTGAACCACTAGGTGTCCCTGTAAGCAAGTGATTGAATAATTTTTAAAAATCAGCAAGCCTTGGAAAGTTTGACCGACATGATCAGTGAACTTGAGCTAATGTATGTAAAACACCAGGCCTCTGATCTAGACGACACACTGTTCTCAAGTACACATTGGCAACATGCTGAGCTTGAAACCGATCTCAGTAATTTCAAAGACTTGACATCATCCAGAATATATTCTCTAATGATAGTCTGAGATTGTCAGACATCAATAACAAACAATAACTAGAAAATTATTCTTACATTTGACATTTAAATCTCAATATGCATATTTCTATATTCATAACAGTTCAAAGAAAAAAATAAAAAATGTAATAAATATTTTGATTTGTTTTTTCTTGTTTATTTTTCTTTTCTTTTCTTTCTTTTTTTTTTTTTTTTTGAGAGGGGGTCTCACTCTGTCGCCCAGGCTGGAGTGCAATGGCTCAATCTCGGCTCACTGCAACCTCCACCTCCTGGCTTCAAGCAATTCTCATGCCTCAGCCTCCTGGGTAGCTGGGGTTACAGGCACCCGCCACCATGGCTGGCTAATTTTTGTATTTTAGTGGAGACGGGGTTTCACCATGTTGGCCAGGCTTCTCTGGAACTCCTGACCTCAAGTGAACCTCCCGCCTTGGCCTCCCAAAGTGCTAAGATTACAGGCGTGAGCCAACGCGCCCCGCCAATAAACTTTTGTGTGCCAGGCATGATGGCTTGTGCCTGTAATTGCAACACTTTGGGAGGCCGAGATGGGAGGGTCACTTACAGCCAGGAGTTTGAAACCAGCCTGGGCAACAAAGTGAGACTCCGTTTCTACAAAAATTAAAATCAAAATCCTCAGGCATGGTGGTGCGCACCTGCAGTCCCAGCTACTCGGGATGCTGAGGTGGGAGGATCACTTGAACTGAGGAGTTGGAGGCTGCAGGGAGCCGTGATTGCACACCACTGCACTCCAGCCCGGGTGACAAAGAGAGACCTTGTCTCAAACAAATAAACAAAAAACAAACTTCTGTGGTTTTGCAGGACATCAGCCAGATGACACAGTGAGAAACATCAGCCTTTTTCCCCTGCAAAAATAAAAATCAGACAACTCTCTGCAAATAAACATAGCACGGGGAGGACTCAAAAGTCCAATTAGGAAAGGGGAGACATACATCTAACAATAAAAGGAAAATAATTGCATATAAAATATTATTGGGGAGGTCTACAAACTTGAGCTGTCTGGAGGCAACTAGGAACAAGAAGAGGGAGGCTATCAATATCAGACAGGCAGTGGGTACCACCTTGATCCTGAATGGTCTGTCCTACAGAAGAAACTGGCAGCCTTTTCTGCTAAAGATCTTAACAGCCCAATGGCAGCTGAAGACTCCCTGCATATTTCACACAGAGGACTCCCTAGAGTTCATTAGCACAAACCCAGTGGCCTGCCCCACAGAGAATTCCAGGCATTTTGCTACCGAGCTAAACCAACGGCCATTGCTGCCACAGGAACCCTGGAGAGGAAAACACTGCATATCATCCCCCTACAAAGAAGGAGAAACTGTTGTGCTGCCACAGAAATGGGCCTGTCACCCCACCCAAACCCATGCAGGCCCTGTACCCTTGCATATAAAATATTATTGACTATATTCTGCATTCAATTTGTGTGTGCCTGCACCCTGGACCTCACTCAGCTCTGCAACCATTCTATGTGTATCTGTGCATCGACTAGCTCTGCAACCATTCTATGTATCTGTGGCATCGCCCAGTGGAGTTACTACCATCACTGCGTCTTTAACCGCAGTGTGTGCCTGGCACCCCTGGACCTCACTCAGCTCTGCAACCATTCTATGTGTATCTGTGCATCGACCAGTGGAGTTACTACCATCACTGCGTTCAATCTGTGTGTGCCTGCACCCTGGACTTCACTCAGCTCTGCAACCATTCTATGTGTATCTGTGCATCTGAGTTACTACCATGGATGGCTAGCCCACATTCCAGACCCGAGTCACTGCGGCTCTGTACATGCCCAAGTTCCAAACCCAGCTCCCTGCCTGCTACATGCTACCCACTCCTCTCACACCAATACCAGTGCTGCAGCTGAGCGCCTGTGCTCCAAGCACTGGTGCCAACACTGCCCAGGACCCTGGAGTCAAAGTCCTCCATCCATGCCAATGCTTCGGCGCCATCTCTGTGGCTGATCCATGGGTAATATGCATCCGACACCAGCAGCACCACCATTGCAAGTGTGCTTGCAAGCCAGACCCAGTACCAAGAGACACACCCTTGGCCATGCTTCCATCATGGGAAAAAAAGAGTTTAGGAGGACTCCAGAATCACTTGCCACTGAATACCCCAACAATTCTTGCTGCTACTGTGGACATCTGCAGCCTCAGCCATTGAGGACGTTTGCCATCTTTACTCATGCTGACCTCAGCTTATCATGCTGCGTAGAAACTATACACCTGTGCTCTCACAGGAATGAGAACTAACGCACCCCACACAGCTGGTGCACTCACATCTCCTGTAGGTGTCTCACCCCACTGAAACCAGTCCTCAAAACCTAGAGGTAGTAACTGCACTATGAAATGAGAAGACATCAACTCTTTTTTCCATGGCTGATTTTACTCTGTATCCTTTCACTGGGACAAATTTTAACTATGAACATAACAGCTTTTCTGAGTTCTGTGAGTTCTTGTAGCAATCATTTAACCTGGGGGTGGTCTTGGGGACCCTCAAATACAGGTAGTTTTCTTGTACATGTGTCCTCAGATAAATACTTGGTGGGAACCTGCTGGAAGTCTCTGGCTTTGTCTTTCTGTGCAGCTGTCTCCTTTCTGATACTCTCCCACATGAGTTATAGTCCTCTCAGTCTCCTAAGACTAAGTGCCATATCCCCAAATCTGGTAGTCTGCTATCCTACACTTGGGTTACCCCTGCCTGCACCATGGTTTGGGAACTCAAGCAGTAAAAGAGGAAAATTATAGGGATTATAGCATTTGTTTCTTGTCGCTCAGGGAATCATAGTTATTCAGTGCCTGTTACAGGATAGATTTTTGTCTGCTCAAAAAAGTTTGTCATTCTAACTCCCAGAATGTAATCTTATTTAGAGATCAATCTTTACAGAGTTAATCAAGATACAATGAGGGTAGGCTCTACTGCATTATGACTGATGTCCTTATAAAAAAGAAAAATTTGGATACAGAGACAGACACACATAGAAGAAAGATTAATTAAATAGACAGAGGAGAAGAAGACAACCATCTAAAAGCCAAGGAGAGAGATTGAGAACAAATACTTCCCGCACAGGTGACATCGACACTGCCAGGATCTAGATTTCAGACTTCTAGCATCTGCACCTGTGAGATAATACATGTATGATGTTTAAGGCACCCAATTTGTGTTACTTTGTTATGGCAGCCCTAGCAAACTAATACAGTGCCTGAGGTCCAGTGTCTGAAACCAGTATTTTATATTTTTCTCTGCTTATTTTCTTGTTTAACATGAGAGGGTCCTATTGTCTGCACGTTTGTGTCTCCCAAAATTTATATGTTGAAACATAATCAACATACAAATGTGATGGCATTGGGAGGTGGGGCCTTTGAGAGGTGACTAGGTCATGAGAGAA